ATTTTTTTTTTTTAAGATTTTATTTATTTGACAGAGACACAGCGAGAGAGGGAACACAAGCAGGGGGAGTGGGTGAGGGAGAAGCAGGCTTCCTGTGGAGCGGGGAGCACGATGCAGGGCTCGATACCAGGGCCCTGGGATCATGACCCGAGCCAAAGGCAGACGCTTAATGACTGAGCCACCCAGGCGCCCCCCCCTTTTTTTTAATGTGCCCACTGTTTGCTTCTAAAACAAAGAATGGTAAGAAAATATCTCAGGGGTAAAAATAGGTTTTTCTTTATCAACAGTGGTTAATAATTCATTAGCAAACATTCACTGCCACCACCTTCCAGGCAGTAGGAGTATGTGAAGAAATAATTTCATGAAGATAATTGAAAACTTGTTTTCTGTTCCCAGTTCTCTGAGAAGTGAGTTTCCTAACCAGTTCTGTATCCTTCCTGATTGGTCTGAGAGGGAGTTTCCTAACCAGTTTTAGGTCCTTCCTGATTGATCCGGAGAGCTAGAAGAGCTAGGAGAACTTGGATTTTGATCCGAAGTGTCAGGAAGGGCATTTATGCAAATGAGGACTGAGCCAGGTATTAGGAGAGCTTAACTGTCCATTGTCCCATACCTACGGATAGCCTGGAATCCTGCTGTTCAAGAGATTTTGTGGTTGCAAATACTTGGTTTTAGGATATGATTGAAGGAGCAAAATGCTACCTAGATAATCTTTGGAAATAAAGGTATCTAGCCCATTCTTTAAATAGAGATTTATTGATGAAATAAAAAAAAGGTCAGAACTTCACGAATGTATCTTAGTGACCCATGAAACTCACTTTTTATTCCAGTTCCCTAGTTCTCCCCATAATTACTCAGCCGTGATTATTTTCACTGATAAAAATAGCATATTTTGGAAATGAGTAAGGATACATAGAATGCTTTTTAAAAGATCGCCTTGTTATTTTTCAAAAATTGAAATTGCAAACATCGGGGTTGCCCAAAGATGCTGAAGATCGTTTGCCAGTCCAGGAGAACAGCATTCTAAATCTTTGCTGAAAATATGCTTTTTCTAAAGGAAATTTCTTATGTCTCAGGGAACATCTGCATCCTTACAATTCCTATATATAATGGGAGTGAAAGAAATATTTCAGTGTGTGAACCAGCCCATTGTGGCCATTTCCAGAAACCACCCCACCTCCACTGTTTATAGTACATATTTGTTATTTAAATGGGCCTCCTACCTCACTGGAAGTGAAATTCATATGCAGGTTAATGACGTAGGGGCCTAAATGTATAGTTGATAGGCAGTTGAATGAGAAAGAGCAATATACTAGAACACAACTTCAACTTGAATCCCCAACTGTCCTTTATTTACATCACAGTCCAGAAACCTGTGTTCGATGCTTTTGACGCCACTTGACCACAAGTGGTCTTAAGAAATAAGATTTTGCATAACGTTTCTAGCTGGTTTTGTGTACAAATCATGTTGTTCACTAATTCATCTATTTCTCAGAGCACCTACTATGTGCTAAGCACTGTACTAAGGTTCAGGTTCTGCAAGGGTAAACAAAAGCAGCCATGTAAATTGTAAAAGGTCTTCCTAACGTAGTAGCCATACAGCATGTGTCTAGTTCAGGGCTCAAGGAGTACTGTATGCTACATATTTCCCAAGACGTGATGGAAATTTTAAGTGTAAATGAGTTACGGAAGGGAACCATTTGAGGCTCTGGGTGAAACCCAGTGGCAAAACATGAAGCAAGAAAGGAAAGGCATTGCCCCTAGGTGAAATAACAATGTGGAAGTGAAAAGCCATGTTAGTAAAATTTACCTTTTCTGAAAACAATCATTGGAAGATGTAGAATTCTTTTTTTTTTTTTTTTTAGATTTTATTTATTTGACACACAGAAGGAGAGAGCAAGCACAAGCAGGGGGTGTGGCAGGCAGGGGAGAAGCAGGCTTCCTGCTGATAAGGAGCCCAACGGGGGCTCGATCCCAGGACTTTGGGATCATGACCTGAGCCGAAGGCAGCCACTTAACTGACTGAGCCACCCAGGCGCCCCCAGAAGATGTAGAATTCTTAATAGAAACTTCAAGAAATTTCTTTTTTTTTTTTTTTTTTAAGATTTATTTATTTATTTGACAGGGACACAGCGAGAGAGGGAACACAAGTAGGGGGAGTGGGAGAGGGAGAAGCAGGCTTCCAGCGGAGCTAGGAGCCCGATGTGGGACTTGATCCCGGGACCCTGGGATCATGACCTGAGCCAAAGGCAGACATTCAACGACTGAGCCACCCAGGCGCCCCAAACTTAAAGAAATTTCTTAGTAAGGTCTCAGTTGAAGAAAGAATCCCTTTCAATTAATTCTGGTGAGTGCTTGTAACTAACCCTTTCTAATAACTGTTAGGTAAATAATACAGCCTACTTGCAACTGATGTTTGAACCCACAGGAAGCTTAAGGGAATTGAAACTAAACCTTGATTTTTATCTTTTAGTCTGGTGAGAATGAAGTGTATCCCCTTATTTTATATTGTTAAAGAGATGTTGTATCCCTGTTTTTTCTCCATAATGGATAAAATTTAGTGTTCTAAAGTTTTTATCCTAATACTGTAGAATTGGCTCCTCCACCCCATCTCTAAGTCACAGAACTTGAATTACAAGAAACTTCAGCAGGATCATAGCCTTTTTTAGTGGCCTAAATTCCCAATTCTTACTTTAAGAATTTCTGGTTAAAAAAAAAATTTTTTTTAAAGGATAAATCGTTGTATTTTGTTAGTGCTTATTCTTGAATTTTTCTTACCATTTATCATTAACTTGGATTGTTGGATTTGCAACTCAAATTCTGGATGCCAAAATATCCAGATTCACCTTTCAGTCAAAGAGGTATTTGGTATATTCCACCGTGAAATGTCTCAACTTTGTCCAGGAAGTAGGAGGGTGGGTATCCTATATTTTCCTAATACTTGGTGGCCTTAAACAGAAGATTGGGTTTCTTTTATCGAGACTGTATGAATAAGGAATCTCTATACCTCCATGGAGCTCTCAGTCTTAACCGAAAAAGGTCATCCCTAGAAAGACTTCCTTTTAACAGGAAGGAGGGCCTGGGCCTGGAAGGGAGAGCCAGAGATGATCAGGTTGTGGAGAGGGGCTATGACCAGATGGTCAGTTCTCCTGAAGAATAACTTCCAACTCAATGTTCCTGGTTCTTCAAACTCAAAAGAGGCTAAAGGGAAATAATAAACCTACTGATTTCCATCTTGACTGCAAAACCCAGAGAATTCCTAGGGGAGAAGAAAGGTAAACCTAAGATTGGATTTAAAATAGGTTTAAGTAAACTTTCAGTTGTTATTAACTTTTATGAAAATTTTTTTTAAGGTTTTGGGTTCACATGATGTTAAATTGCCATGATTAGAACATGGAATTTGATTTGAGATATTTTATGGGCTAAGTGATGGTTTTCTATTGAATTACATAGCAGCAGCTTTTGCTGCTGATCAGGATTTAGGATTGTGCACCTGTGTCTGTTAAATAATGCCAAAGTTGCTCATAAATACTATTAAGCTAACTTGAGTCAACACTTAATTTTATTAACTTTAATCATGGATCCTCTTCTTAAATATTTAAAATTTAATTAATCCAATAAGAAAGCAATGCATTAAATGTTATCAAAATATTTGAAGATACTTTAGAACTATTATTTTACACACAGCCTATTTCCTTTCTATGGAAAGTACGGTACAAAAAAGTTTTACTTTTTTACTTTCTTTCCAAAAGCCCATGTCTGATGTTTTCAGATACCTAGAGCTTGGAAATGATAGAGTTGGACTTTGGCCCTAAGTCAGCAATTCTCATTCATTTCAGGCAATAGCAATTTGAAGACATGGGTAGTGACCCCAACTGAACTTACATGTAATCAATTAACACAAACTTTAAATTAATGAAACTCTTGGAGAGTCTCATATTTGGTTTCCCCTTTGTTGCATAAGGAGATAGACTCTGGGCTGGGAAGGACCTGAAAATTTGTTCTTTGATAATAAACTACTGATTGAAGGACAAGTTCTTATTAAATTCACAAAATTCATAGAATCCATGAAAGATCTCAAGTACATGACTAATGAAACTCTAGAAATTAAAAACCTTTCTCTTAGCCATAAAGTGCTATGACCTGTTTTTTTAAAGCCCATGTTAATCCTGTGACTCATTGCATCACACCTTAAAACTTGCACCGGCACCAAGAGAAATCAGAATGGAAGAAATGACCTTGTGCTGGTCTTGTTCACTTTAAAATCTTTGTGCACATAGGCCTTAGCACTTTGACAGATAAAACTCTGCCTTCTAGCTCCCTCTCACTATCGTCTTTATTCCTCTCACTTTTAGACTGTTCCTTGTACTGGTTGTATAAAACTACCTTCCTCAGAATTGAATGTATAATGTTTCTGCACATGGGCAAATTGTATTTTCTCTTAATGACTCATTTAAGTTGAATAAAGGCATACAGTTTTACTCTAGTGACTGTGCCTTCTCTTTTCCAAAGAAACCAGATACCATGATGAATGACTTACCTGTTTGTTGCTCCTTTTCTTGCACCTGCTTGCACAATTATCCCTGGGTCCTGGCTAAATTTGGGCACTACAGAAAATGCCAGTCTCTAAGCAACCCTCGAAGGGGCTTAAAGAACTGAACAAGAGCCAAAAAGAATGTGTTGTGCATTTCAAGAATAACAAGGAAACGTATACTACAAAGCCACAGTAATCAAAGCAGTGTGGTAATGGCATGAGGACAGACCTATGGACCAATAAAGTAGAACAGAGTCCAGAAATAAACCTTCACATATATGATCAAGTGATTCTTGACAAGGGTTCCAAGACTAGTCAATGAAAAAAGGGCAGTCCTTTCAATAAATGTTGTTGGCAAAACGATATCCACATGCAAGAGAATGAAATTGGACCCTTACCCTACACGATACATAAAAATTAACTCAAAATTGATCTAAGACCTAAACATTGAAAGCTAAAAATACAAAACCCTTCTTAGAAGAAAATTAGGAAAGCTTCATAATTTGATTTGCCAGTGATTTCTGGGATTTGCCAAAAGCACAGGCAACAAAAGAAAAAACATAAATTGGATTTCATTAAGAACTAAAAACTTGGTAAAAACAAACAAACCAACCTAAAACTGAAAACTTACACATCAGAGGACATTATTCATAGTGAAAAGGCAGCCCACAGAATGGAGAAAATATTTGCAAATCATGTATCTACAAGAAATAAATATTGAGAATATATAAGGAACTACAGCTCAACAACAAAAGAACAACCAATTAAAAAAATGAGTAAAGGACTAGAATAGATATTTCTATAGAGTAGATATACACAGATGGACAATAAGCACGTGAAAAGCCGCTAAAGATCCCTAACCACCAGGAAAATGCAAACCAAACCATAATGAGACAACTTCATACCCATTAGGATAGCTATCAAAACAAAACAAAGCGAAACATGGGGCACCTGGCTGGCTCAGTCAGTAGAGCATGCGACTCTTGATCTCAGGGTCCTGAGTTCAAGCCCCATGTTGGGAGTAGAGTTTACTTAAAAAATAATAATTATATATATATATATATGATCAAGTGATTTTTGACAAGGGTTCCAAGACTAGTCAAGTCCAAGTAAACTAAAGTTTATTTTTAAAAAAATTTATATACATACAGTTTATATATATATAATCGAGTTTATTTAAAAAATTTATATATATGATCAAGTGATTCTTGACAAGGGTTCCAAGACTACACACACACACACACACACACACACACACACACACACACACACAAGAAAACAGTGTTGGCAAGGATGTAGAGAAATTCGAACCCGTGTGCATCTCTGGTGGAAATGTGAAATGGCTCTACTGCTGTGGAAAACAGTAGGGCAATTTCTCAAAACAGAAGTACCATATGATCCAGCAATCTCACCTCTGGCTATATACCCCAAAGAAATGAAAACAGGGACTTGAGCAGATATTTGTTCCTCAATGTTCATAGCAACATTATTTATAATAGCTAAAAGGTGAAACAACCCCAATGTTCATCAACGAATGGGTAAACAAAATGTGATATACCTGGAATATTATTCAGCCTTAAAAAGGAATGAAATTCTGACACATGCGTGAAACTTGAAGGCATTGTGCTAAGTAAAATAGCCAGACACAAAAGGATAAATATCGTATGATTCCACTATACAGTATACTTAAAGTGGTCAAATTCATAGAGAAATTAGAATGGTGGTTGACAGTGACTTGGGAGTAGAGAAGATTGGGAATTTGTTTCCAGTTCTGGAGATGGATGGTAGTGTGGTTGCAACATTCTGAATGTACTTAATGCTACAGCACTACACACTTAAAAATGTTTAAAATGGTAAATGTTATGTATATTTTACCACAAATTTTTAAAAAATATTTACTTCAGGGCACCTGCGTGGCTCAGTTGGTTAAGCGACTGCCTTCAACTCAGGTCGTGATCCTGGAGTCCTGGGATCGAGTCCTGTGTCAGGGAGCCTGTTTCTCCCTCTGACCCTCCCCCATCTCGTGCTCTCTCTCTCTCTTTCTCGTTCTCAAATAAATGAAATCTTATATATATATTTATTTCAGAGAGAGAGCGTGTGTGCCCATGTGCGTGAGCAGAGAGGGGCAGAGGGAGAGGGAGAAAGAATCCTTGAGCAGGCTCCCCACTGAGCATGGAGCCTGAATCGGGCCCCATCCCAGGACCCCGAGATCATGACCTGAGCCAAAATCAAGAACCCGTTGCTTAACTGATTGAGCCACCCAGGTGCCCTGTTTTACCACAATTTTTTTTTAAAGATTTTATTTATTTGAGGGCGCCTGGGTGGCTCAGTTGGTTAAGCGACTGCCTTCCGCTCAGGTCATGATCCTGGAGTCCCGGGATCGAGTCCCGCATCGTGCTCCCTGCTCGGCAGGGAGCCTGCTTCTTCCTCTGACCCTCTTCCCTCTCGTGCTCTCTCTCATTCTCTCTCAAATAAATAAATAAAATCTTTAAAAAAAAGATTTTATTTATTTGAGAGAGAGCACAAACGGGGTGGGGGGTGGGGAGGGGCAGAGGCAGAGGGAGAAGCAGACCCCCTGATGAGCAGGGGGCCAGACTTCGGGGCTGGACCCCAGGACCCCGGGATCATGACCTGAGCCAAAGGCAGACACGTAACTGACTGAGCCACCCAGGCGCCCCTTACCACAAATTTTTAAAAATGAGGCTCAAAAGTGGATTAAAAAAATAAGACTTGCATAACATTTTCTTTTCTGAGCAACCTGAGGAGATTAATTTAAAAGTAGTGGTTTTTTTTGTTGGGGGGGTTGGCGTGCCGGGGTGGCTTAGTGGGTTAAGCCACTGACTCTTGATTTTGGCTCAGGTCATGATCTCAGGGTCACAGGATCAAGCCCTGCCTTGAGCTCCACTCTCAGCACAGCATATGCTTGAGATTCTCCTCTCTCTCTCCTCTGCCCCTAGCCCCTACCCCTTCTCCCTGCTCCTGCTTGCAATCTCTCTCTAAAATAAATAAATAAACGGCGCCTGGGTGGCTCAGTTGGTTGGGCGACTGCCTTCGGCTCAGGTCATGATCCTGGAGTCCCGGGATCGAGTCCCCGCATCGGGCTCCCTGCTCGGCGGGGAGTCTGCTTCTCCCTCTGACCCTCCCCCCTCTCATGTGCTCTCTCTCTCTCGCTCTCTCAAATAAATAAATAAAATCTTTAAAAAAAAATAAATAAAATAAATAAATAAAAATCTTTAAAAGGTAGTTTTTGGGGTGCCTGGCTGGCTCAGTCGGTGAAGCATGCAACTCTTGTCCTTGGGGTTGTGAGTTCAAGCCCCATTTTGAATGTAGAGCCCACTTATAAAAATTAATTTAAATAAATAAAGTTTTGTTTAAGGAAATGCAGAACCTAAAGTCCACCAGTGGAATTAAGAAAAACCCCATAGCACTAAAGAAACTGGTAATGATGGATGATTAGAAGAAGCCACGTGTCTTTGAGGGAAGCAAAGCTCTTAGAATCCTCGCCGAGCAATGACTCAGCAAATTGTCCTTGATCTAAGAAATTACAGCTGAGAATGGAACCAAATTCAACATTTTAGTATAGCCAGGAACCCAGACTGTAGCATCAAAGTTGAAGATCACCAGAACGTTATAGGAACTGAGGGCAACAAGGAATGAGTACCTTTTGAAAATAGCAAACCATCGGCTCAGGTCATGATCCCAGGGTGCTGGGATTAAGTCCCTCATCGGGCTCCCTGCTCAGCTGGAAGCCTGCTTCTCCCTCTCCCACTCCCCCTGCTTGTGTTCCCTCTCTCGCTATCTCTGTCTCTGTCAAATAAATAAATAAAATCTTAAAAAAAAAAAGAAAATAGCAAATCATTAACCATCCTTCTTCCTCATATTAAGCAATTCTAGTGAAGAGTAGAGTTCTTGGAGTGGATATCTTTGCTGATCTGCGAGGTAAAAACTTACTTCATATTAAAGTTTGCCTTTAAAAAAATTTTAGTCCAACATCTCTTTATATGAGCTATTTGTTTCTTGTGAATTTTCTGATCAGGACTTTTGTCAGGTTTTCTACTGGCATGTTCCTTTTTATTTCTTTTAACGACTTCTAAATGTTCTTCCTACAGTAAAGATATTAATCTTTTGTGATGTGTGTTGCATGTATTTTTCCTAATTTTTCCATGTCTCCCATTCTTGTTTATAATCTGTTTTGCCATACAGAAACTCTTAAATTGAAATTCAATTGTTGCCCGCAAAGATTTTTGTTTTCGGGGTGCCTGGGTGGCTCAGTCCTTAAGCCTCTGCCTTTGGCTCAGGTCATGATCCCAGGGTCCTGGGAAGCCTGGTTCTCCCTCTCCCACTCCCCCTGCTTGTGTCCCCTCTCTCGCTGTGTCTCTCTCTGTCAAATAAATAAATGTCTTTAAAAAAATAATAAAAAACTAAAAAACGTTAAAAAAAGATTTTTGTTTTCATGATATACTTAAGAAGCCCTTATACATTGATTATAAAAACATTTAACAACCCCCTTTTTAATTCTTCTATAGTTAAAAATTTTAAAATTACATACATATTCTCTCTCTCTTAAGTAAGGTCTATGCGCAACATGGGGCTTGAACTCATGTCCCCAAGATCAAGAGTCCCATGCTCTATTGACTGAGCCACCCAGGCACCCCCAACATGGGGCTTGAACTCAAGACCCTAAGATCAAGAGTCGCACATTCCGCTGACTGAGCCAGTCAGGTGCCTGATGTCGTATTAATTTTTGTATATAGTGAGAGGTACAAATCAAAGTTCTTTTCTTTCCTTGTTGATATCCAATTGTTCTCACATTAAAAGACACACTGAATGATTTTCATATCTCTGTTGAAAATCAGTTGTCCATATATGTGTGAGTCTATTTTTAGATTATTCTGTTCCATTAGTATGTTTGTATATCTTTGCGTCAATACCACATTGTCTTAATTACTGTAGCTTTATAAATGGTTTAAAATGAGGTAATGTTAATCCCCCAACTTTGTTTTTTACCTTCAAATTCAGTTAGGCTATTTGTTTGTCCTTTGATTTCCATATGAATTATAGAACCAGTTGTGAGTTTCTGTAAAACCAGGATTTGAGCTGGGATTGTGTTTAAGGTATACATCAATCTGGAAGGAATTGAGATCTTAGTATTTTGCCATTGATCCATCTTTTCATTTATTTACATATTATTTAATTTCTCTTAGCAATGTTGTATAGGTTCCAGTGAATAGAGCTTTCATACATCTTTTGTCAGATTTAACCCTACATTTCCATTTTTTTACATTTAAAAATGTTCAAATGATACCGTGACAATTTTTAAAAATTTCACTTTTAAAATTCAACATTCAATTTCTGAGTGTTAATTGATGGATATGAACATTCGCATTATAGTTTTTTACAGATTTTGCTAAAATCAATTGCTAACCTCACTTATTAGTTTTAGCAGCTTCTTTGTACATTCTGTTGGATTTTCTATATAGATTGACAGTGTTATCTCCAAAGACAGAAAGTTTTATTCTAGATAACTTTTCTTTTTCTCACCTACACTGGTTAGAACCTGTAATTCAATGTTGAATACAAGTGGTGAGAATAGACCCTCTTGTTCCTGATCTTACAAAACAAGCATTAATATTTCATATTAAGTATGATGTTAGCTAAAGATTTCTCCTAGATAGCCCTTCATCAGGGTGAGGAAGCTCCCTTCCATCATCTATTTGTTTTTGTTTTTTAAATCAGGAATGGATGTTGAATTTTGTCAAATGCTTTTTCTGCATTTATTGATTTGATATGGGTTTCTTTTTCAGTTTGTTAATATGATGAAGTTTGTTGGTTGACTTCAGAATATTAATCCAGCTTTGGATTCATTGGTTTTCTATATTGGTTTTTTGTTTTCTAATTTCATTGATTTTGTGTCTCTCTCTCTCTCTCTCTCTCTCTCTCTTTTTTTTTAAAGATTTTATTTATTTATTTGAGAGAGAGAATGAGATAGAGAGAGAGCATGAGAGGGGAAAGGGTCAGAGGGAGAAGCAGACTTCCCGCTGAGCAGGGAGCCCGATGTGGGACTCGATCCTGGGACTCCAGGATCATGACCTGAGCCGAAGGCAGTCGCTTAACCAACTGAGCCACCCAGGCGCCCCGCTCTCTTTCTCTCTTAAGTAAGGTCTACGCACAACGTGGGGCTTGAACTCATGTCCCCAAGATCAAGAGTCCCATGCTCTACTGACTGAGGCACCCCCATTGATTTCCACTCTTACTGTTTTGTGTCTTTTGCTAATTTCAGGTTTAATATGTTATTCTTTGTCTAATGTCTTAATATGGAGGCTGTTGTCAATAATTTGAGAACTTTATTATTTCTTTTTTTTTTTTTTTAAAGATTTTACTTATTTATTTGACAGAGAGAGACACAGTGAGAGGGGGAACACAAACAGGGGGAGTGGGAGAGGGAGAAGCAGGCTTCCTGCTGATCAGGGAGCCCGATGCGGGGCTCGATCCCAAGACCCTGGGATCATGACCTGAGCCGAAGGCAGACGCTTAACTGGCTGAGCCACCCAGGTGCCCGAGAACTTTATTATTTCTTAATGTAGATGTTCAGTACTATGAATTTCCCCCTAAGTACTGCTTTAGTAGCATCCCAACAATTCTGATATGTTGCTTCATTTCTCTTCAGTTCAAACTACTTTCTAATTTTGATTTTGATTTCTTCTGCAACCCGTGTATAATTGAGAGATGTGCTATCTGGTTTCAAATATTTGAAGACTTTTCAGATATCTTTCTCATACATTTCTATTTTAATTCCATTGTAGTCAAAGAACATACTTTGTGTGACTTGAATCATTCTAACTGTACTGAGGCTTTTTTTTTTTTTAAGATTTATTTATTTATTTCAGGGAGAGACTGGAAGCAGTGGGGTGGTGGGTAGGGGCAGAGGGAGAGGGGAAGCATACTCCTTGCTGAGGGTGGAGCCTGATGTGAGGTTCCCCATCTGGAGATCATGACATGAACCCAAACCAAGAGTTGGATGCTTAACCGACTGAGCCACCCAGACGCACCCCCCTTTTTAAGATTTTATTTATTTATTTATTTATTTATTTATTTATTTATTTATTTATTTAGAGAACAAGAGAGCCCATAAGCACAGGGAAGGGCAGAAGGAGAAGGAGAAAGAGAATCCCAAGCAGATTCCTCACAGAGCACGGAGCCTGATGCGGGGCTCAATCCCACAACCCTGAAATCATGACCTGAGCCGAAGTCAAGACTCAGACACTTAACCAACTGAGCCACCCAGGCACCCATAAATATAGCCCATATTCTGTGTGCTTTTGAAAAGAAAGATGTGTATTCTGCTGTTGGGGTAGTGTACCATAAATGTCAGTTAGGTCAAATTGGTTGATGAAGCTGTTTGTGTCTTCCATATTTTTACTGACTTTTCTGTATACTTGCTCTAACAATTATTGAGAGAGGAATATTGAAATCTTTAACTACAGTGGTAGATTTCTCTCTCTCTTTGTAGTTCTATTAGTTTTTGTTTCATATATTTTTATTTTATTTCTTTAAAGATTTTATTTATTTATTTGACAGAGAGAGACACAGCGAGAGAGGGAACACAAGCAGGGGGAGTGGGAGAGGGAGAAGCAGGCTTCCCGCAGAGCAGGGAGCCCGATGCGGGGCTCGATCCCAGGACCCTGGGACCATGACCTGACCTGAAGACAGACGCTCAATGACTGAGCCACCCAGGCGCCCCTCATATATTTTTAAATAGACTTTTAAGAGCAGTTTTAGGTTCACAGCAAAACTGAGGGGAAAGGACAGAGAGTTAACATACACCACCTGCCCCCACACATCCTGCATTATTAACATCCTATACGAGAGTGGTATATTTTTTTTTAAATCAGTGAATCTACGTTGACACACAGTCCAGAGTTTACATTAGTGTTGTAACTTCTATGGGTTTTGACAAATGTGTAAGGATATGTATCTACCATTACAATATCATACAGAATGGCTTCAGTGCTGTAAAATCATCTGTGCTCCACCTATTCATCCCTCTCTCCCCTCAACCACTGATCTTTTTACTGTCTCCATTGTTTTGCCTTTTCCAGAATGTTCTGTAGTTGGAATCATACAGTACGTAACCTTTTCAGACTGGCTTCTTTCAGTTATATACATTTAAGTTTCCTCGTATATTTTCATGGCTTCATAGCTCCTTTCTTTATAGCTCTGAGTAATATTCCATAGCGTGGATATATTGCAGTTTATTTTGTCCATTCACCTACTGAGGACATCTTGGTTGCTCCTAAGTTTTGGCAATTATGAATAAAGCTGCTATAAACATCAGTGTGCAGGTTTTTGTGTGGACATTAGTTTTCAACTCATTTGGGTAAACAGCAAGAAGCATGACTGCTGGATTGTATGGTAGCAGGATGTTTAGTTTTGTAGAAACTGTCAAACTGTCTTCCAAAGTGGCTATACGATTTTGCATTATCATCAGCAATAAATGAGAGTTCCTGTTGCTTTGTATCTTTGCCAGGATTCAGTGTTGTTAGTGTTTTTGGATTTTAACCATTCTAATAAATGTGTAGTAGTGTCTCATTGTTGTTTTAATTTGCAAGTCCTTTATGACATTTGATGTTGAACATCTTTTCATATGTTTATTTTACATTTGCATATC